TTAGCGTTATTTTGACTTTCAGCTTGATGTTGCTGATTTGGTCCAGGTGTTGTGCCCTGATATGTAATGCTTAGCTTCAGGCAGGAACATCTAATGCTATGTACTGTTGTTGGTTTGAATGGAATGAATTGTGGTTTATTGGTTTTACCTGGTTATGTTTTTGCGTTTGTTTATCTTTAGGTTGAATATGTTTCTTATATCTTAATTTATTACTTACTTGTCTTAATGACTTTCGTCTTGTAATGTGTTGCAGCAAACAGGTTATGTAAATTTATACCATTGCAAGTTATTGGCTTAGCCACTTCTGGAATGGGTATGTATTAAGCCAATTCCAGGGTGGGGTTCTCTGGAAAACTTATTGGCTAAGAAATTGTAACTTAGATTTAAGAATGAGAGTATTGTTTTGAAGTACTTATTGCAGTGTATATTGTTAGTCTTAATGTAATGTACGGATTCATTACAGATACCTTAAAAGATTGTAGCAATAGTAAGAGGCAATGCTAGAAAAAGATCGCGTGCTATTAGTGCACTTTTGGAGATAGATAAACACAGGTTGGGTTAGGTTACCAAGAATGTGTTTTTTGTTGTTAGGTGTTTGCATGCTAATAAGTTGTGCTTGTCAATTTAGTGTGGTTGCTGATGGTTGTGCACAAAAGACAAGTGGGGCCAATGGTGAGGTTGCAGCTGCTGCTGGTAAGGCTGCATCAAAATCGGGTAAAGGTAGTGGCCAAGCTAACGCAGGGTCAAAGGCAAAATCTAAACATGTTTTTGAAGAGACAGATGGTAAGCATGTGTTTCTTATTTTGTTTTTCAGTTTCAAATTATTATATTTGTGTAAAGACATAGTGTTTACAACATTTTACTGAACTGCCAAGCACATATTCAAATTGTGGGGCAACAAAGATGGATTCTTTATAATTATAAATTAATATTTTGTGCAAGAACCAGTAGATTATTATCTTGGAGATTTGTTTTCAATGTGGGCTGCTGATTCTAATGCTTGGTCAGGGTCCATTACAGATATGTTTGAAAATAGTGGACATTATGTGAGATAGCGTGCTAGCAAACGCTCACGTGCAGTTGGGGTGGTTTCAGATGTAGATAGAAGCAGGCTGGAGTAGGTTTTTTAGAGTATGCTTTTGTTTGTTAATTTTAAGTATGTAATATCTTATGATTTTCAATGAAGTATTGCCACTGATAATGGTGCTAGGCAAGGAATACTAACAGCAGTAAGACTAAGGCAATGTTAACTACAACAAAAAACAGCTTCCTTCAAAGAAAGATAGTAAGCATGGTGCTTTAAGAATTATTTTAAATTTGCCGTGATTTGTTTATGATATTTATTGTTAACTTTGAAAACAGAGGGGGTGGTAGTTGCAGTTACTTATTTAGAGCGAATATATGGACTTTCAAAGAGCAATTTAATTAGGTTGAGACAACTATAATTCTTGTTGGTTCTTTGTGTGAAATTTATTTATACTTGGCTTATTAATTTGCCCATGTTTGTGTGTTTAGTGAGGTAGGTGAAAGTAGTAGCATAGGGTGCGCGAAGGAATATTAAGAAAAAAATACAGGCCAAGCCTAAACTGCCAAAAGCTACAGCTCCAAAGAAGAAGAGTAAGCTTGTTTTAATTAGTTATTCTTATTGCTGCCTCATATGTATTGTACAGTGTATGCTTACAGAAAATGTGTTATACAGAAGAATCAGCTGCTGTTATTGGTCAGCCTCTTCCACTGGCTTCTTTACAGTTGGAGACTGCACATTATTGTCTTAAGTGTAGGGCTAAGAAGTTTCAGTTTGAATGGTTACATTTTTGTTGAGGGAATGGAAGTATTTAGATTGCTACGAATCCCTTGCCTGATGAACTTTATCGGCTCTTTACATCCCAAGACGAGGATGCATTGCATTTTAGACAATATTCTCGCATGTACAATAACTTATTTGCATTCTGCTCTCTTGGTGGAAACTATAATGCAAAGATTGAAAAAGGAATTTATGTGTTCTTATTACATGGTCAGATTTACCATAACTTGCCTGATTTGTTGCCGGAAAATGCACTACCTAAATACTTGCAAATGTATTTTTATGATGCACAGTTTGAGGCTAACCGTAGAACAGAAACTTTTCCTGAGGTCAGAAGAGATATAGTTGACATTCTCATGCGTGTCACAAATGCAAACCCATATGCTCGGTTTTTCAGATCATTAAGTGAGCTGACCATAACTCATACTACACAAATAGCTATTAATCAGAGCACGGTATTAGATCAGCGAGTGTATAATGCACCATCAACTGACGAAGTAGCAGCTATATGGCCAGACAACATGTCTTCCAGTGACTACAGTAGCCCATATTGTTGTAACAGGCAGGTCCAATGATCCTCATCGAATATATCATTATTATGGATGTTATGATCCCTTACAATATCCTTTACTGTTCCCATATGGTGAATGTGGGTGGACTCAAGGTATGCGGAAGGTTTATAGGGATTCGGTGTAGGAGGGTTTAATGGATGTAGACCCTATTTCCTCATGTGTTGTGCATTCAGAAGAAAGTTTCATAGAAGAAGAGGCCAAACATGAGTTGTTAATTACAAGTAAATTGGTGAGCCAATAGGGTGCCTTATGGTTGCATAGTTGCATATGCAGACTAATTTGAGATTTTGTTTCAACATACAGGTGCAGCTGACTCTTCAAGGAGCTCTAAAAGGCATATTTCTCCCAGGGAATACTACGCTTACAAGCTGCAGATAAGGCCAGGGAATATGCTTCTTCGTGGAAGTCGATGTTTTCAACAGTACATAGTTGATATGTATGTCAAGATTGAAAATACAAGGCTTGATTTTTTTAGAAGAAATCAACAAACAATTCGAGCAGATTTGTATCAGGGGATTTTGGATACTGTTGAAGATGGGGAGAAAAGTGCTAGCAATGTTGGTCGGCGTGTTATTTTACCACCAACTTTTATTGGTGGACCTCGTGATATGAAGAAACGATACTTGAATGCTATGGCTCTTGTGCAGCGATTTGGCAAGACGGATCTCTTTGTCACTATGACTTGTAATGCTGCATGGCCAGAAATAACAACTGAACTTTCTAAGGGAGAAGTAGCAGCTGATCGTCCAGATGTCATTGCTCGTGTTTTTAGAGCCAAGTTAATTTCTTTTAAAAAACAAATAAGAGAAGAAAATATTTTTGGAAAAGTGGCAGCCATGGTGTATGTTGTTGAGTTCCAAAAACGAGGTTTGCCACATGCTCTTTTTCTTATTATTTTAGAACCTGGGTATAAACTTACTGGTCCTGTAGATTATGATAAGTTTGTAAGTGCAAAGATCCCTACAACTGATTCTCCAGAATTGCGTAAAATAATCCTCAGGCATATGATGCATGGCTCATGTGGTATTCTGCATCCTAATTGTGGATGCATGAAAAAAAAGATAGGGGATGAAGTTGTTTGTAAATATAACTATCCTAAATCTTATTTAGAGGAGACCACTACAAATGAGGATGGCGTTCCATTATATAGAAGACGGAATACAGGAGAACATGTAAGGATACGTGGTGCTACCCTTGATAGTCGATGGGTTATTCCTTACAATCCATATTTATCAATGCTGTTTGATTGCCATTTGAATGTTGAAGTGTGTTCTACTATTCAAGCAGTGAAGTACCTTTATAAATATGTTTATAAGGGTCATGATAGGGCGTCTTTCAATATTGGTGGGGAAAACAATCAGGGTGTTGATGAGATTGAGAATTTTCAAGCTGGTAGATGGGTTTTTCCATGTGAAGCAGATTGGAGAATATTTGGTTTTGATCTGTTTGAAATGACCCCATCTGTTATGGTGCTACCAGTACATTTGCTTAATATGCAAACTATTTATCTATAGTCTCATGAGAATCTTGATTCAGTCATTCAGAATGAGAAGAGAAGCCAAAATGCTTTGACAGAATTCTTTAGCCTAAATGCACGCATTACTGGAGGCACAGGGCTACGATATACTGAAGTGGTTTCAGAATATAGGTGGGATGGTAGCAAGAAGATATGGGTTAAAAGGAGTTATAAAAAAAATGTTGGCCGGATGGCCTTTGTGTTTCCTGTAGAAGGAGAACGCTTTTTTTTACGCCTGTTGCTTGGTAAAATTGTCAATCCTGTTTCATTTGAACATCTGAGAACTGTTAATGGAGTTCTGTATCCTACTTTTCAAGAAGCTGCAATCAAACAAGGTTTGTTCCAAGAGGATAATGTCACTACTGCTTGTTTGGAAGAAGCAGCAGAGGCACAGATGCCTTCAGCAAAGCGCCAGCTCTTTGCAACATTGCTCATATTTTGCCAGCCATGTAATCCAGGTGCACTTTGGGATCGCTTCTATAGTTCTTTGTCTGAAGATTTTAACTATAAGTATCCAAACTGCCAAGCTAAGGTCTTAATGTTAACTGTTAGGGAGGTTGAAGGCAGTTTAGAAGCTATGAGTAAGTCATTAGAAAATTTTGGGTTGAATCATTTGATAGAGGGAACAGATGATAGAATTCGCGTTACAAAAGTCATTGTAGATGCTTTAGAAGCTCCCATCCCTCCAGAATGTCTTGAGTGTCTGAGACAAGTTAAATACTGCCCAAGCAAATGCATTTAACAACATTATGCGCCATGTGCAAGATGGCAAGCCTGGATTTTTTTTGTGGATGGACCAGGTGGGACTAGGAAAACTTTCTTATATAATGCTTTGTATGTTGAGGTTCGCTCATCAGGGAAAATAGTTCTGCCAACAGCAAATCAGGAATATCAGCTTCTAATATTCCTTCTGGGAGGACAACACATTCAAGGTTTAAAATACCTCTTGATTCTGACATATCTCTTGCATGTGATGTTCCAAAGCAAGGAAGTTTGGCCGCTTTAATAAAAGAAATAGCTCTTATCATATGGGATGAAGCTTCCATGGCACGTAAAGAAAATATTGAGTCCCCTAGATCTGTTGTTAAGGGATCTTTGTGATCCTGACATGCCTTTTGGCGGAAAAGTGGTTGTTTTTGGTGGAGATTTTAGACAGGTTCTGCCTATTTTGCCTCGTCAAACCCAAAAAGAGGTTGTTGGTGTAAGTGTAGTTAGTTCTTATATTTGGCTCCTTTTGATTAAATTCCGGTTGACAGAAAAAATCAGAGCCAAAGAAGACCCTGTGTATTGATCATTCCTTCTTTCTCTTGGCAATGGGCAATTGCAGTCAGTTGAAAATTCTTATGTGCAGCTTCCAGATCATATAATTAGATACTATACTCCTGATGATGATCCTGTTTCTACATTGGCTGCAACAATATTCCCTGAAATTAAAGCCCTAGAGTTTGATAGCAGCATTTTTAATGAAAGAGCAATCATCACACCTATGAATGAAGATGTTGATACTATAAATAAGCATATGATTAGTATGTTTCCTGGAATATCTACTACATATGTAAGCTATGACTCAGTTCTTGATGATAATTGCAAATTATATCCTACTGAATTTCTTAATTCACTCTGCCCGGGGGGGGGGGATGAGTCCTCACAAGCTCGAGCTAAAATTAGGCAGCCCTATTACTTTATTGCGCAATTTAGCATCGTCTAAGGGCATGTGCAATGGGACTCATCTTATCTGTAGGCGATTTTTTCCTAATTCTATTATATGTGAAATATCATCTGGTCATTATAAGGGCACGTTTTATTTTGTGCCTCGGGTGAATTTAAGGCCTTCAGCTTCTTCAAAGTATCCCTTTCAGTTTGAGCGTATACAATTCCCATTGAAATTAAGTTTTGCAATGACTGTAAACAAGTCCCAAGGTCAAACACTAAATCAAGTATTGGTGTATCTTCCACAACCATGTTTTTCACATGGACAACTATATGTTGCTCTTTCACGTGCTAAACGATCTGCTATGGTTATTGTCTATACACCTCAACCACAAATTGATGTTCCTAAATCAAATGTTAAGAATATTGTATCATATGATGTTCTGCGTTTAGCAAATATTATTTAGGGGTTATTTCCTAGGTAAAATACATGCATCCTCATTTCTTTTAGAAGTTTGAATTGATGCACTTCACTTAACTGGTTACTATTTTGTTTTCCAAATTAATATGATATTGTTTTGTTGTTTTGCAGCCATTTTGAAGGTCAAGTTATAAAGGTGTTCTGTTTTGCTAGAATATTAAGTATGGTAGGTTATACTTGTTATGCTTGATGACTTATTGGAAAAAATGTCACATATTTTAGACATCTTTTCAATTAGTAGAAAGCCTAGGTTATATTTGCACACATGAGAAGGTAGGAGGCTTACATATTTGTTTTTTTTTTTGTAAAAGTGCTTATTATATTTGAATAATCTAAATAAAAAAATTGCAGTTATATTTTATTATTTTGTTTTAATACAATATGTCTATTCAGAGCATTTCAATATACATGGTATAATTTAATACTTCATTTGAGTATAAAGTATATTGCTATGTTATTTTATTAAAAAATGAAAGGAAAAAAAAAAACACTTTCAAAATAAAGAATGTACATTCATTTGTCAATATAGAAGTCAAGGTTCTCTAAAAAAAAAAAAAAAAGCCAGGGTCACATTAACCATGTATTTGAATTTACTTGTTTACAGCTATGTGACTTGATGTGTGATTATACAATCTGAGGTATGAGTAGCTTACTATTATCTAGGTAAAGAGAATACATTTTTATATCCGGTGGACATTGCACAGCTTGTGTTTGTGACCAATCAATATGCTACAGCTATAATATTAAGCCAATTTTAAGGTTTTCCTTCTTCTATTTAAAGATCTCTCCTTTCAGTTTAAACATACTCTTGGGTTTTTTTTTAAGAACTAAGCTTCTTTCCAGATTATTCTTTCTTCTATTCAACTGCAAAGGTCAGTGCATTAATAGTTGAATTCTTATATTCTATAGCTTCTAATTTAATGTTAAGTTATATTTATTGATATGCTGTGTTAAATTTAATATGATGTCATATCTTAATATGTATCAATGTTGCTATTGTTATAAAATATAACAGAATTGTAAATTTGCATTTGATTGTTTGCTTATGGTCATAACTTATATTTCACTGTACTTTTGTACCATATTGTATTTAATAGCATACTATATTTAATGAGATTAGTATAGTGACTGCATTTGAGTGCTTACTATGTATTTATCTGTTGTAGAGTGTTTGCACTTATGGTTCTTTTATTTATTGTATTTCATATGCTGTGCTTATTCTATATTAACATTGACTTCAATAAAATTGTTTAAAAGTATCATGCGTTACTGTCTTATATTTATTAGCACTACACCAATGTTTCTTTTACTCATTTATCATGATAATCAGCTTCACATGCTGTTTTAAACATGTACCTGTCAATAATAAGTTATTTTTAATATGCTTCAAAGTAATAGACAAATTCGAGTACTCACTATGTTGTTACCTATTATAAAGTATTTGCCTTTATTATTGCTTATATTAAGTTAAATGTGTTATGAAATTTGTTACTTAAGATTAACTTCAATAGCAGATTTACTTAGGCTGCAATATTATTGTCTAAGACTTGTGAAAAGTGCATAAATGTTTTCATTGTTGATTTATTATGATAACTATCTTATATTACTATTTTTTAAAACATGCCCCTAAACTAGATGAATCCTCGGTATGTTCCTCTAGACAAGCTTACTCCCAAATCAAAGAAATACAAGATTAAAGTAAAAGTCAAGGAAAAATCTCCTGCAAAATTTCCTGAGAACAAAAAGGCTTTCCAGAAACTTGTATTTGAAGATGATGAGGTATAATGCTGTGATGACACAGTTTTAATTTTAGAAATTCAAGTTGCAGTATATCTGAGTTCATTTTTGCTATCTGTATAGGGCAACACAATCAGGGGTACTTTGTTTGATGATGAAATAGAGAATTTTCAGAATATCCTAGAACATGAGAAAGAGTATATCATAGCAGATGCACCTATAAGAAACACGAATCCACTGTATCGTCACAAAGAAGGTGACTACTATTTGTCATTTGGAGGATCAACTGCAATTCAGTCACTGAATCCTAATTCTGGTCTTGTGATGCCAAAATACATTCCTATTGCTGAAGTTCCACCAACAAGTAGTCCTGATGATTGTTTTGGTAAACTTGATTTTGTGCCTTGCTTGATTTCATGCAATTATCTTGATAAATTTTCATTAACTTGGTAATTTTTATACAGACATCCTTGGAGTTGTTGTCTACTTGGAAGACACAAAAAAGAAGAAGGCTGCTGGTGGCTATGAATTTGATGTGCGCGATGTTATTGTTGTTGATGATAGCATGCAAAAGTTAGTTTTTAGCACTAGCTTCGTATGTATACATAGTATATACATATTAGAAGTCTTTTGTTTGATCATTTATAGCAGCAATATCTTATCACATCTGCAGGGTTGGTGATGGACTTGTGATTTCTTTGTATGGAGAGCTTGCTACTAAGGACTGTGCTCAATTATCAGCTTGGTGTGAATCTTTCATGATAATGAGCTTTCGAAATCTGCAGCCAGCAACCCACACTAGTTTGACCGTCTCTTTTTACTGTCCTCATCCTTGATAAACTATATGTGTGCTTTAATTTATGTTTTATGTTCTAGGGTTCTCATTATCATCATCCATGTCAACAACTATTGACACCAATCCCACTGGTCCAGAAGTGAATGCATTAAAGGCTTGTAAGCTCATATCCTGTGTATATCATATATATGTTTCGGTTTAGATGATTACTACTTAATATATGTTTAATCTGATTTAGGATATTAGAGAATCAAGATCGTGTTTCTGATCACATGGGTCATCATCTATCAAGTAGGGAAGGAAGTAGTTCTGAGATTATTACGACTGTTAAGGATTTGAATAAGAAGACAGTAAGTATGCTTACTTTTATTGTATATACAATTTAGTTCTTCATAGAAACATTTCATACTTAGTGTTGCATGCAGTCAGGTACAACTACTGCATATGAGCGTCACTGGATTCAGGTTACAATTCCAGATGCTAAACAAGAAGATGTGAATGCTTACATTGGATGCAGTGGATGCAGAAAACGCTGTGATAATGTGGATATTGTTAAATTCTACTATGATGTATGCAGTGCTCAATGCATTGCAGAAAAGAGGTATATAATCTTAAGCATACAACATTTGTTTTGTAATACTTCACATGATTTAATTGAGTATGTTTCTTTTTCAGGGTTAGTATTAGCTTTACTGAATCTGATGACACTGGTAGTATTCGTTTGACTGCATATGGAAAGCAATGCAAGGCATTGCTTGGCCATAAAGATGCAGAGCTTATACAGAAGAAGGTAGAATATTTTATTAAGATTGAACTGCTGTGTTTATTATCATAACATGTTATTTCTATACTAATTATCAATTGTGGTGTTGTATGCAAATGACAAATTGGCCTGAATTTGAAACCATAACTGCTAGCTTCAAAGAAAAACCACTTGAGCTTGAAGTAGGTCCAACTGGTGCAATCAAGAGAGTTGGCTATCTGAAATGGGTTGTCAAATCTATTTTGCTAGAATGAAGTTTCATTTGAGTCGACATTGGGCTTCGAGTAGGAACACGATTCTTTGGAATCGACCAATTGGTCATTTTGGATGTGTTCCTACTTGACACCTTTTGCAACACTACTACATTTTCAGCCCTTATTTCATGTTTCTGCCTATTTTCTAAATATTTTGTGAATTTGAACTAATCTAATGTTGCTACTTTGTTGGTGTTTGGATTCTGCAAGTTTATTTTTGCATAATTAAAAGTACTTTGGCTTGTTATTGATGAATATGCTATGTGACAAGTGCTTTGCTCTAGAACAGCTTATCATGATTTATGCTAATATTATATTCATTTCAACAATTCATATAGTGCTTTCAGTTATCAATGTCACATGAATAACTATTATATTAGCCTTGAAGATTATTTAACCATTAACTTATAAAACAATGTCTATGAAGATTGATCAAATTAAAAGCATATCTTACAATTAATAGCTAAATAACATTGATTAAAAATTAATAGTCTCATACTTTACTGCATGAATAACAAAATAAACATTGATTATAACATAATATTCCACATAACTTACTAATACTTAATCATGATTTCTAACTTTATTACATGTACAAGGTATGTTAGCATACCATTAGTTTATACTAATCTAAAAGCTTTACCAGAACCAATATTTAACCCTTACTTCTTTGATGTCTTTCAGGTTCTTATTTGGACCCAGCTGAGAAATTTCATCATTTTTACCTGTAGTTTGACTTACATCAGCTTCAACTAACATAGTTCTTTCAGTAACATCTTCTATGCATGTCGGAGTTTGATTTGGCTCAGCCAAACATGCAGCACTATCAGAATCATCCTGAGAAATTTGCTTAATTCTTTTCTTTTTTTGGAGCATGTTGAGTTCAGTATTCTCATTTCTTACTTCATGCAATTGCACTTCTATATTAACTATTCTTTTTTCAACATCCAAGAAAGTGATCCTTGCATCTGATAATTGACCTTCTAAATGAGCTTTTGTATATAAAAGCTCTTGGATTTTGGTTTCGATATTGCGTTTCGGGTAAATAGAACTTTCTTTACACAATGAAGACACATGTTTTTCTGCCATTAGGAAAATAGTTTAAAGGAAAACAAAGTTTCACCTATTAAAATAGCATTTATATATGGAATACATCTCATATTCAAAATGCATCATACAGTTGTTATCTTTGCTAGAGTTAAGAGTTATTGAAAAGCAACAGAGACAACAACCTATTATCTGAAGGGTAAGTAATAGCATCCCAATTACCAAAGTTTTATACATATCAATTTCAGCAGAATTGTTTTCAATTCAAGTAGTCACTTATCATGTCACAAAAAAGTATTTGATGCTGCATAAAAGCATTACATTATACATTGTACATTTCAAAAGGCTATCACCCAGGTATTAGCTAAATATATTATAGATATCTAAACTTCAAAGAAAACAAGCAAGCATACCTTATAATAAAACAAATTCACACTATTCAATGTCAAAGATATCTTTTAAAGATACTAGATTACTTTCATTACGCTACTTTTTAACCCATTTAGAAGTTTTTATTTTTTGTTTTCCAAAAATATAACTAGATGACTTATGAATTAGACAAAGCCTTGTAAACAAGCTACTCTATACTTATGTTTTACAACCTAAGCTTAAATGATATCCTTTTGGATTTTTAAATGTTGCCTTAAATATGGGGATTGATGCTTTCTTTTAATCTTAACTTATATAATTAATATGCTAAGTAAGATAATCTAATCTGATGACAACCAAAAGATCAATTACAATTAGATATACCTAGCTCTTGTTGGATTAGCTTGACTATAGAAATAAACAAAATAGTTAAGTATCCAGGAAACAGGACACAAGTTTTCAGCTGCAAAAGCATTATCAATGTAGTCTGATTATATTTCTTTGCAGCTTATTACTAATATAAAATTTTCGTAATATTTACACATATTTACAAGCCACAGAAAATTGTAATAAGATTACCGAATTAAACCAAAGATCAAAGTCAATCTCATATCTTTGGCAGCTATATAGCATACCTTATGAGTATATCTTTTTCCATCTTAAAGGATTGCTTATCATGTAACACATTAATGCTTGATTATATAATGCATTGAGATAATTTATACTATGATCAAGACTTGAACAGGGTTGTGTTTAGAATACCAATATATAATCATTACTAAAGTATATGTAATACGGCTATTAACCTAAACATGCATATTGAAAAAAAGTGTATACACATTCAATAGTCATTTGCATCAATATTCATATGCATTGCTTACATTATTGATTGCTAAACACAGCCCTTGCCAACCAAGGTACTTCACAGTTTCATAAAAACACAGTCTAAGTTAATCCAAGAATTAAAGCATTCTCCTCATTCTTACTGGTTCATCAGCATCTCCATTTTTTCATAAGCATATCCATCTTTTGTGTAGCATATAGACGAATTCTGGAATAGGCTGTGAATTCACCGTGAAGATTCTCTTTCATCTTGACAAAAAAGTTGCGGATTCTAGCAGAACTTGAAAGATTTTCGCCATTATCAGCCATTGTAGAATTAAGATAATTACCTATGAAGGGAAGAGGAAAGGTTTTCAAAATTGCAGTGAGAATTCAGAGTAATATTAAAGATTTTGCAATAAAAAGTAGGATTTTATTTTCAGCAAAATCAAACCGTCAATTTATATATGTCTTTTCAAATGTCATTGGAAACATGCAAAAAACTGAAGAGTTGCATTGCTTGATATATTGCACGTTGACCAAGGAAGTACTTGAGTGTAAATCTGTAAATAATATTATATAGTTATGATTTAATTGTTGTTGTGTATTAGTACTACATAAAAATTTAAAAACTCACTTTTTATCAACCTAATGACTAAAAAGATGCTAATTATAAACAATAAAATGATAATTATTCTTGTTTCAATATCGTGTAATAAACAATGCAATGGTAATTATGCTACTATTACATTATAATATACATTGATTAATTTAGATGACCATTACAAAGAAAAATTACAAACAAACTTTATTAAATTGTATTAAATTTCTTTTGTTGTTTGTCTATTATTAATTTTTCTTAAAAATATTTAAAAATATATCGCTAATTTCAGATTTGATAACTTCATGTGAAAGTAAATAAAATAATTTCAAAACAAAAAAGGATAAAGGTATAGCCACCAATTCACAATTTATGTAATGGTTATCTTAGTCTACGTTTGAGTTTAGTCCATGTTTTAAAAATGTATTCAAATTAATCACCTTTTAAACTTTTTAAAAGAAAAGGGTCATTGTTTTATAATTAAGGTGATCAATTTCATGTACATTAATACATTACGTAGGACTTCGATATCACTTACAAACATTGAGTTTAGTTTGAGGAAAAGAAGACAAAAAAAAAAATCAGTTCAAAAAAGACTCAAATTTTTTCACGGACAGAAAGAATGCCAGCGAAAACTAAATTTCCAATTTGAGTAACTTACAACTTAACAACTTTATATGCAAATAAATAAAATTGCTTCAAAAAAAAGGATATAGGATAGAGACATAGTCACCAAATCACAATTTATGGAAATTCCAAGTTCAAAAAATAGGTACGAATTTTATGTTGAGTAATAGAATGCAAAGAAAATGGACATTACTTTTAGTTATTAAGTTTAGTTTGCGTTTTTAAATTGTATTTAATTTAATCACCTTTTAAACTTTTTAAAAGAAAGGAGTCATTGTTTTGTAAATTAAGGTGACCAATTTCACGTACAATAATAAATTGCGTAGACCTTGGATATTTCTTGCAAACATTGAATTAAATTTGAGAGAAAGAAGGTAGCAAAAGGAAAGTTGAGTCTAGAGATAGCTCAAATGATTCATAAAAAGAGGGAATGGCAATAAAAACTAAATTTCTAATCTACATAGCTTACAACTTCACAACTTCATATGCAAAAAAAAAAAAAAAAATAGAAAATATTATTTTTTTTACAAATAATAATTATGGCAGAGTCACTAAATCACAGATTGTATGACATGTATTAAAAGACCATACAAGAATCTATACATTTTGATCTTAAATTACTTTCACACACCAAATGTTAACTCAAAATACAATGTCACCATTTTTAAAAATATACAATTTTGATCTGGTAATATTGTTTAAGCAGGATTCATTACTCCAACAAGCATATATATAGAAATCTTTACAAAGTAGCTACTATAATATATTATAGTGGATAGATGGTGTGCTTAGAATAAATTTAAAGTTGAAATCTAAATTTAATTTAACACGTTTTTTAAGGATACATTAAAGTTCACATATAAAAGAACATCTGATCTGATGAGCTAATACTCACCAAATGTT